AGAAAGAGGTGGAGGTTGAGGAAGACACACAGCCTCGGTCTCTGGCCTCCCCAGAGGCCTTCACACATTTACACATGTTCCCTCCACCCCTGCCTCCTGACACACACACACACACACACACACACACACACACACACACACACACACACACACACACGGAGTCATCTGGCTGAGTCTCTGATCACTGAGGGTCCTGTCAATCAACCCATGCATCTCCCTCAGGTCTTCCTGCCTTGTGGAGACCATGTAGGGTTTACAGCAGCATCTAGAAGAGGCTGGACTGATTAGACAGGACAGGACAACTGATCGGAGAGCCAAGTTCTGGGCACACGGGCAGGCAGGGCTGATGTTGGAGGTGTCAGCAGGAAGAGAATGGAGGCCTAGTCAGGATCCCGCCCTTTTGGTCCTCAGAGCATCAGCTTCCACCTAGAGAGCATCCATTTAGGAAGCAGGTCCAAAGGACACCTCTCCTGAGTCTTCCAGCTTTGGAGGCATGGGTAGACAGACTGGCTGGGAGACCTCTCAAGGGTATGTCTCCTCTATAGTATGAGTCTGGGCCCTGCTTCCTGTTAGGTGTCAAACCCAGGACAAAAGGCTGAGGTGTCAATCTAACATATCAAAGAGGATGCTGGCCACCAGGTTCTCCCAGCATCCCTCATTCTTTCCCTGTTACAGGGCCCCCCTGGCTGGCACACCACCACCCCCTACCCCAAACTTCTCCAGCCCAGGGGCTGGGATGTGCTTCCTACAGATGCCCTTCCCTGCATTTTAGTTACCTGGCCTGTTTTGTCTAGTCTCCTGGCCAGTCTCTTAGCCCAGGCTGCCCCTCTTGGTCGGCAGTGGCTCTCTGCCCCATCTCCTCACATGGCTCAGGGTCGTGTCCACTCTGGACTCTCCCAGATGTTCCTGCCTCTGACTGCGTTCTGCCTTTATCTACAGTAAACCTTCTCCTCCACCATACCTAGGAGCAGTTATGTCCTTCCTTTTTTTATTTAGTTTTTTTTTTTTTTCCATTCACTTCTCAGATGCTCACAAGGAAGGCCTCCCCTGTGAAACCTGGCTGGCAAACTTTGTCCACAGGGTATACAGCTGTGCCACCAGCCAGAGGCGTTCCCATCAGACTTTCCATGCTTAAGTTAAATCTTCCACCTCTGTGCACACTGGGCCGGAAGTAGACGTCATTTGACCCTCACTCGAGTACCAGTTCCAGGAAGTACATATTGGGATGCATGGGGCAGGACAGATGATATTGTCATTCTCAGTGAACAGCTTGGTGGCAACCAGGAAATGCGGGGAAAGGCTCTTTAGCCATCCAGGGCTTCTCTCTAAAAAACACAAGGCACTGACAAGGAGCCAGCTAACAAGAGGGAAAAAACAGGAACTGGAGCATTCAAGAACTAAGATAGAGGGAGTTAAGCCTGGGCCACCATATTGTCAGCTTGCCTGGTGGAGGTCAGTTGGCAGGACTGAGAACGTGCCAGCCATTTGCCTCACAAACACTGCTCACACATCATGAGCACAGGCAAGCGGGGAAGGAGATATTAGGTATCTGGAGTCCGATGACCAAGCTCTCACTATCTAATCTTCGTAGACAGAGTGGCAAGTGTGCAGATTGGAGACATCGATAGATATCACCTATCTTGAGATCCGTTAGGCCGTTGTTCACGCTTCGTGAGAAACCTCCCCCACCCTCAAGCCAGGAAATGGAAGAGATTTGTCCAAGTCTGGCCTAGGCAACCACCTCAAGGGCCACCCAAATGGGAGGATCTCAGAGTGGCGACCTGGAGCTCAGGCTAGTTGATGGGGGTCAGAGGATGGGGAACCATCAGCCTTTCAAAGGTCAACCAGGGTGGGGATAGGGCTCAGCGAAGACAGGGTTGGAATCCGTGTTGCCCAAGGAGACCATAGAAGGGATGGGAGATGGGAACCAATGAGGCTAGAGAGGGCTTGTCTGCCTTCCTTCCTTCCTTCCTTCCTTCCTTCCTTCCTTCCTTCCTTCCTCCCTCCCTCCCTCCCTCCCTCCCTCCCTCCCTCCCTTCCTTCTGCCCAGAACTAAACTGGGTTGTAGATAATCTCATCCCATCTACTAAAGGTGGAGGTCAGACTGGTACGGGCCGGGCAAGCATAAACCCAAAGACAACCTCAACAGCAGCACTGAGCTCTGCCCGCCATGTTCTGCCCAGCCCCCCAGGGTTTAATCCCAGAGATGATAAGGCTGAAAACTTGCAAGGCAGAGGAGAGTTCGGGGGAGAGGAGATGAGAATGAGTCTTAGGTCTGAATGTGTTCTTGGATTAGGGCTGTTCCAGATCCACATTTACCAGCTGCCTTTCTCTGTGCTCTGAACAATGATTAGGCAGGCTGCGGCTCAGTCCACAGCTTGAAGCCTGCAAGTCAGGGAGCAGAAAGATGGTTTAGGCATTGGGGGGTGGGGGTTAAGCATGCAAACTAGCTACCTGGTGGATACTACTGTCAAACTCTTGGAGCTGGGTGGGTGCTGCCTTGGAATAGTGGTCCATCTTACAGGACACATGACGTCTGGAGGAGATCCTTGGATCCCCACGGGCTGGTGCGAGAGTCGTGTCTAGGTCTTGAGCCGGTCTGAGCCTCAGTTTCTCTATCTGCTTATTGACACAGGGCTTCTACTTCATCGGAGAGAATAATGTGCATCAACAAAACAAAATGTGTTTTCAGTTCAACACATGGCGTATGTTTCGCACCTCCCAGGCAGGCGCATACAGGGCTTGATATTCTGACCCTGGAGGAGCCTTACGATGTTCTCAGGAGCAGCATACCCTTCCCTGAGCCCACTGATTCTCCCTGACGCCTCCCACAGCGTCAGCCCTGGTCTCCTCGTCTTTCTCATACTCACTTGGACACGATGAAGGAGGAAAAGCAAGGACTTTTACAGAGAAGGCAGAGCATGATTCAGCACAGCAGAAGTCTTGGTCCAAAGCCACACCTCCCTTCCTTTCCTGCTGTGACACACTCCCAATAGATCCTTGCTGTGCAGGGCCACTGGGTTCTCAGGGGCCTGCCCAGAGGGTGTCTAGGAGTCAGGAGTCTAGCCTGCCCTATGGCTCCAGAGCCTTCCGTAGGGAATCCTCTGGCTTGGTCTCTCTGGAGATGATCTAGCCTGGGGAGGGCTTTCCCCTTGCTGGTGTCTTGGCTGATCCCACAGGCCACCTTACTGAAAGGGTTAGTCAGCTGCCATGCAGGGAGTGGTGACAGAGAAAAGTGGGGAAGTAACCCAAGATGAAGAAGTCTCACAGCTGGGGACCTAGTTCCTAATTCCCTTATTGAAATGGTGCCTGAGAGCTCTTGGCCTCTGGCTCCCCTTCCACTCTGTTCTGAGAGACATAGGTTTCCCCTCCAGACCCTTCTTCCCCACTGCTGACTCAGCTCCTTCAACAGCATGCAAGTGCTGCTGGGGGTGGCCATGCACTGAGTCTGGTCAGGGGTCAATTGCTTTCACCGACTGCCTTGGCTGCTTCCTATTTAGGGACCAAGGCTTCTGGAGGTCAAGCGACAAAGGGACATGCCTGCGTTTATGATCAGTGGTATGATGGTGGCGCATCCAGGAGCTTTGCTGTCTGTGAGGGGCTCGAGGGTAGATAAGGACAGTCCTACCTGGGAAGGACTATTAATGCTCCATGGTGCTTAGATCCCATCCATTGGTGGTAGAATGCAGCAAAGAGTTTTCCCTGGGGACAGAAGTGGTTCCTTAGGAGGCCTGTCCCTCTGCATGGATTCTCCAGGAGCACTTGGAGGGACTTGCAGGGACCCTGACTGCACGTGAAAGACGCCTCTGTTTGTGTCTCTTCTTCGTTCCTTGCATGTAGACTTGGGCGCAGGGCTTCATTCTCCTGGTCGTGGCCTTCATTCTGGGTCCCCTTTTCTGGCTCACTTATTCCTCCAGCTCGGCCACAATCACTAGAGCCTTGAGTTTACAGAACATGGTCCTATTTTCAGATAGGGAATGCTAAGAAGGAAGCCCCCTAAATGGACAGGAGGGCGGGCTAGTTTCTAGGCTCTGTCCTCTGGAAAGGACTGTCTTCCCACCCTCATTATCACCAAGGTCCTCTGCTGTGGATATCTGTATGTTGTGAATGTGTTGCTCTGATTGGTTAATAAATAAAGTGCTGATTGGCCAGTAGCCAAGCAAGACGTATAGGTGGGACAAAGAGAGAGGAGAATTCTGGGAAGTGGAAGGCTGAGTCAGGAGACACTGTCAGCCGCTGCCACCATGAGAAGTAAGATGTAAAGTACCGGTAAGCCACAAGCCACGTGGCAACTTATAGATTAATAGAAATGGGTTAATTTAAGATATAAGAACTAGATAACAAGAAGCCTGAGCCATTAAGCCAAACAGTTTAAATAATATAAGTATCTATGTGTTTATTTGGGTCTGAGTGGCTGCGGGCCCAGGGCGGGACTGGAGATAACTCCAGCTCCAGTCCTCTGTAGAGAAGGGAAGTGCTTCTGGGAATCTGGAACTGGTAGGGGCTTTGAGTGTACTTATCTTTTGTACTAGTAGAGAACTAGTACAAACTTGAATTTGGGGCTTCAAGCGTCCTAGGCAAGTACTCTACACCTGAACTACATCCCCAGTCCTCTTTTTTTATCTTGAGATAAGAGTCTCGCTACATTACTTAGTCTGTCATTGAGCATATTGAGTAGTCCAGGCAGGCCTTGAACTTTTGATCTTCCCACCCTAGCCTCCCAAGAGGAAAGGAGAGGTGGAGGAGATGCTGTGAGCCGCGGCCAGGAGAAGCAAGATGTGAAAATACCGGTAAGCCACGACCACCTGGTAACTTACAGATAAATAGAAATGGATCAAGTTATAAGAGCTAGCTAGCAAGAAGCCTGCCGTAGGCCATGCAATTGGTAATTAACGATTAAGCCTCTGAATGATTATTTTATAAGCGGCTGTGGGACCTTGGGGCCGGGCAAGATTGGAGAAACCTTCCGGCTACAGAGATTACAGGCCTGAGCTCCATGCCTGGCTGAGTGTCACTTTATTATAAATACATTTGATACTGTCGAGAAGATGAACAGTCAGAACAGCCGTGGTGTCGCTTACGGGACCTGGCCATGCCCCAGTCTCCTCATCGTAACCATTAGCATCCTCATTTGACAGGTGAGGACACGGGAGTGTCGAGAAGTTCAAACACCTGTTGGAAGCCCCCAACACGGGAAAGAAGCTGATCCGGGATTCAGATTCGGGACTCTGAGCTGCACACTTGTCTGTAAAGCTGCTTAAGCTCAAAGGTGAGGCGCTCCCCTCTTCGTGAGAACATTGGGGCTTGCCAATGAGGATGTAGGATGATCAGCAAGGCTGGAAATGCCACCGTGAACCTTGGAGTTTATGGAGAATAAGTCACTACTCGCCCATTCGTGTGATGCAGAGGGGGGTGGTACAGGCAGGAACTGTTGAGTACGGTACCCAGCTCCAACTCCAGTGTGCATATGCTCTAGTCATGTGGCCCCTAGGCTCCCTGGAACTCCAGTTCACCCACCTGTTGAAAAGCTGTAGTAGGTCCGGGCAGTTATGCCATTATCCGGGGGCTGCTGTTGAAGCAGGACAGAGTGCTTTAAACACTGGGATCCATTGTCTTGTAGTTCTGGAGGCTAAAAGCTCAAGGTCAGAGAGTCACCAGTGGGCATCTGTGAGGAAGAATGTACCTCGGGCCCTGGTGTGGTCATCTTTGGTGTTCTTTCACTCACAGAAGCATCATCTTGATTTCTGCCCAAACATCCCTGCTTTGGAGGGTCAGGGTATTACAAAATTGCCTATTTCAACCTAGACTGTTGCCTCTGTAAGATGGAAATATGTCCTGTGGCTGTGTATCTATTTTCCAGACTTCAGAGACCGCAGCAAAAGGGTAGACGAACTCTGAGTTGTCTCTTTAGCTGAACCTAGTCAGGGCTGCTCCTTAATTTGGGTCAGATTGGGGTGCTCATCAAGGAGGCAGATTTGAGAAAGACATTGGGGTGGTTTCTCAGTATCTCTTTTGAGAGGAGTAAGTTGGTCAGGCTGCTGCACTCTACCAAGCTTTCTGCACTAAAAAAAAATTTAAATTGGCAAATCATCATTGTATATATTTATGGGGGTACTATGTAACATTTTGAGGTGTAGTTACATTATAGAATGGTTAGCTCAAGCTCATTAACAATCCATTATCTCATTCTTGTACTTACTTTTTGCCCAGACTGATGGCTATAATAAATGATACTTCATTGCAAACTTTAAAGTTGCTAACAGAGCAGATTTGAAAATCCAGTTTGGTTCCTTGTAGTCAGGCATACATATGGCCCCAACTCCTCAAATGTGACAAATGCATTTAGATATTCTACAAATGTAAGTGTTTGGGCATGTCGCTCGATCCTTGAAATGTCAGTGGCTTACTCAATCATGAGAGAGGATTCTTAGACAGTCAGCCATGTGCTATTGAAATCCTACTCGGAAATGGACTCCGGCAGTCAGCCAGACAGGCTTGGGATGATTCGGGGTAGTGTTTCTGCACATGTGTGTGCATTGGAATAAAGGTCTCTGCAGTATATTTGCTATCTGTACAATCTTAATAACAGACTTCCCCTGTAGTGTATCACTGTAGTACCGTGTGTGTGTGTGTGTGTGTGTGTGTGTGTGTGTGTGTGTGTGTATGTGTGTGTGTGTGAAGCATGCTGTTCTTCCTTCCAGAGAAATATCTAACCAAGGTATCCTTGATATCTCTTGGTCTAATGTCTCCTGGTTCTTAGGGTCTTTTACCCAAGCCTGGTTTTAGATTATCATTTGGAAAAATATTAATTTATTGAGCTATGGAGGTCTTCCAAATATTGACACATTTTACTGTGTGGCATCCAGGAACCATATTTATTAACACCACCATCAATCTCATTAGAAAAGCCTTGGAAAGCGCTCAGTCAAGCACATGGTGATAGGTAGAAGTTTTCCAAAATTTAGATTTTTTTTTTTTACTTGAAATCACAGATCTTTATCATTGGCAAGTTGTTTTCCTTAAACTACCAGGCTCACTTTGTTCATTTTTGAGAGGATTTCTGCCAAATGCCTAAGTCTGAAGAGCCATAGCTTGTAAGATACTGAGTAAAAATGGTCTGGCCTGAGAGGAAAATGGCTAGTTTAGCTGGTAACTCAAGCGGCTGCTTTCCCTCAGACAACTTCTTCTGTCGGAGAATGAGAGGAGGGCCCCGGGGCCTCTTCCACTTCCTAACACAGGCTCTTAACCTGTAATTAAGAATCAAACTGATACTTTTCTCTCTGTCATTAAGGACAGTCTGCATGGTGCTGGTGGGGCACTGGTGCGCACTGGTGCATGTGATGGGGAAGAGAGTGGAGTGACTGTCAGTGCTGTTCGGTGTGGGTGTCTGCTGCTTCAGTGAGTCAGGTTCAACCTGCGATTGCTTTTGTTACATGTATGCAAGGGTTGTTAAGGGGAAGAACAAACACTACTTCTACACCTCTCTCTCTCTCTCTCTCTCTCTCTCTCTCTCTCTCTCTCTCTCTCTCTCTGTATCTAGGTCTCTAGTTCAGCCCATTATTTAGTCTTGATCTGTTTCTTTGTTTCTCTGTCTGTCTGTCTGTCTGTCTCTCTCTCTCTCCTTCCCCAGTGACTCGGTCCCTAGAGGAGGCCCAGCACCACGTGGGTGTGCAGGGACGGCATGGCATTCAGGGCGGTAGAAGAAGCATGCTCCTAAGGATTCCCTGTGGGTAAATAAAGATGAATGAGGAGCCTTCCCACTGGAGAAAGCTGTTTCCTTTGGGTAACAACCTGAGATCCCTCAGTACTGGAAAGTGACTCAGTAGGTGCTGAGGTATTTGCAGGGCATCTCCTCCCCAGGGCGTGCTGTTCTGGGGTTCATTTTCCAATGATGGGGCTGTGGGAAAGGAAGAACACTACCTTTTTCCTCCTCATTCTGAGGCAGCTTGAATTTGGTGCTTGTTTTGAGCAAATAGGTTGGAAGAGTTTATTTTTGTTTCACGTGTGCTTGCTATGGAAACATTTACCTGATCATCAGAAGGAGAGTTAGTCTTAGGGAGACTTTATAGACTATTCTGCCTATGGCGATGGCTCCTCCTGGGGCTCTTTGGAATTCTTCTCCTGCCCCCCATCTGCCCCATCAATTTTTCTTCCCTTTATCTCGTCCTCTATCCTAGACTACAGGAAGAGCCCTCTCATGTTACATGTTACATGGCAAAGCCCTGGCTATTCTTTAAAGCTGTTATTTAGTTTTATTTAATATGCATGGGTGTTTTGCCTACATGATTTCTATGCACCTTGTACATACCCAGTGCCTGCAGAGATCAGAGGAGGGCATCAGATCCCCTGGAACTGGGGATTAAAGGTGACTGTGAGCCACCTTATAGGTGCTGGGGTTCCAACCTGGGTCCTCTGCAAGAGCAACAAGTGGTCTCAACCATTGAGCCATCTCTCCAGCCGATATCCCTGGCTGTTTTTTGAGGAAAGCAGGAAGTCTTTTTTTTAACAGACTCTTTGCATGTGCCAGGCGTCCCAAAGACTTCATACACAGTTTTTCTACTGAGACCTCATAGGTTCCCTAGGAGCAAACCAAGACCTGAAGGGCATGCGGTGGCATGTCTCAGAAGTGTCACCATCTGTCACTTTCCCCGGTTGTGGGGTAAAGATGCAGTTGTTAAAGATCAAAGTGATTGGCAGCCGATGGAAAGGCAGGGACAGGTTTCTCTCGTGCTCCTTCTCTCTTAGTATGTGTGTATGCAGGTAGCATTAAGGGGCAAGCAGGTATGTGCTAAAGGAGCTGGAGTCTGGGCCAAGTATGGCACACAGTAGCCTTGTTGGGCCCTGACCCTCGTTCCTTGGGTAGCTGTTGCCTTGCTTGCTGACCTTGATCAGATGTCCTCCCTATGCTAATTCCCTGCCAGTTTCCTTCCTCCTGAATGCTTACCAGAGGTTCCTGTTTGTGCGTCCTGTGTATTTGGTGTAAACAGCTAGGATGCAAGATTGTAAAACATCTGTAGTGAACTTCTGCCCTCCGGGGTTCTCCCATTGTGCTGTAAGCCTGTATTTAAGGTTTCCTCCCTCCTTCAATAAACGGCATTCGGTATTCTGCTGAGACGAATGACCCGCTGTCTTGACTCCGTTTTTAATCCTCAGCCCCTCGCTTGGACATGGTGAATGGGTGGTAGCGCGGGTGCTGCATGGCCTCATGCTAAGGCTCCTGGCCATTGTCTGGCAGGGCCGATGGGGCACGTGGCAATATGCAGTTGGCGTGAATGAGATGCTCAGAGCTTCCTGTGCAACGTGCGAAGTTAGATGTGCTTGTGGAGAGTTGTTTGGATCTGGAGGTGGAGGAGAGACGCATAGTAAGAGCACAGGTAGCCAGGCCATTGCAGAAAGCCAGAAGGAATTCACTGGTGGCAGGTGCTAACAGGTGGCTACGAGGGTGACAGAATCTTCAGGCCACGATAGACTAAATGTGAACGTGAGCGTGGAAAGGGGTCTGGCTTCTAGGTAGGATGCTTGTGTGCCCTGAGACCCTTCCCCCTGGGAGTGGGCCACAGGTTAGAGGCAAGGAGTGGGCGTGAGGACAAAGGGACTTGTAATGAAAGCTTTGGGGTGTTAACGTTTTAACCCTTTCCACTGTCCTGTAGTGAAAGGTATGGAAGTGAGCACCCATTGCTAGTGTGGGGGATACAACTCTAGTGAGATGGCATCTTAGCTCAGAGGAAGGAGAGAGAAACAGGAAAGGCCTGGGAACCTCTTGGCTCTGAACTTGACCAACCACAAGTCCTCAGAGCCCAACCAAAACTTGACCAGGCAATGACAATGTCCCTCTGAGCAGGCTCAGCACAGTCCGCAGGGCTGAGCATCTGTGCATCCTGTGGAAGTGACTTTGGAACCAACTTGTCACCAACTGCCTAGCGCCTCTGATTCAGCCTGCCTCCAGCTACTGAGTTATCCGTCCCTGGACTGAAGGATGGCTTCCCCTCAGTGCTTCCCCCTGGCAGAGCTAAGTACCAATTATCTCCCTCTATGTCATGATCATTCATGAACACTCATATTGTCGCTGAGTGAGAAGTCAGAGCAGGGAGATTCAGATAGCACCGAGTGGGAGACCTGCTGGGCAGCCCACCAGACTGTGCCTGAGAGCTGGGGCCGGTTTGCTATGGGTGGACGGCTGAGCCACAGCCAGTGCGTATGCAGCCATTTCAGGTGAAACTACAGGGCAGACGATGAGGAGCCAATCGTCTAGGCTGGGTACTCACGCAAAGGACATGTCGTTGGGATGAGAGTCATAGGCACTTTGGCCACACACTCTACCGCATTTCAGTTTTTACAGTTGAATCAATACACAGACAGAGACACATGGATCTATCTATCAATCATCCATCTATCTATCTATCTATCTATCTATCTATCTATCTATCTATCTATCTATCTATCATCTAGTTATCTATCATTTATCTATCATCTATCTATCTATCATATATTTATCTATCTATCATCTATCTATCATCTATCTATCATATATTTATCTATCTATCATCTATTTATCTATCATCTATATATCTATCTACCATCTATTTATCTATCATCTATCTATCTATCTATCTATCTATCTATCATCTATCTATCCATCATCTATCTATCTATCTATCTATCTATCTATCATCTATCTATCCATCATCTATCTATCTATCTATCTATCTACCTACCTACTATCTATCTATCTATCTATCTATCTGTCTGTCTGTCTGTCTGTCTATCTATCTCTAGGATATGTCAGGTGATACGTTGCGCTGGAGAGAGCCATGGGTGAGAAGCCTGGGCCTAACATGTTTGTGCAGATGCAGGTACTTAGAGTGGAGAAGGGATGTAGACACAGTGATTCCCCAGTACCCACATACAAGTGTGGAGCTCCACCTATAGTCCCAGAACACGGGAGGTGGAGGCAGGAGGATCCTGGGACAAGATAGCTAGACTAGTCAAATTGACAGGCTCCAGGTTCAGCAGGAGACCCTGCCTCAGTAAATGAAGTGCACAGCAGTGGAGAAAGACACCTGATACAAACTCTAGCCTCTCCACACATGCATGCACATATACACCAGCACATGTCTAAGCATACATGTACGTCTGTAACCCATACTCACGCCCCCCCAAAAAAACTGGACACAGGAGCCTTGTCATTGAATTGCTCTCTCTCTCTCTCTCTCTCTCTCTCTCTCTCTCTCTCTCTCTCTCTCTCTCTCTCTCTGTGTGTGTGTGTGTGTATACATGTGGATATTACTCTAGGGAAGACATTGAAAGGATGAAGGGCGCTGGTGGGTCGGCAGGCAGGGTGGAAAAGTTACGAGCCACGGCTATGATTACCAGAGTTAGAAAGAGCTTTATGAGAAAGAAACCAGGCCTGGAGAGACAGAAAGATAGCAGGAGCAGAGCAGAGAAGAAACAGAAAAGAGAGAGGGTGGAGGTCCGTGTGCGGCTTTTTAAGGCGGAGATTGCGTGACCCCGTGGCAGTACACAGTCGCCCGCGCCCCCCTCCCCATGATGTAAGACGTTAGACCCAGAAGAGTGAGAGCAGGATCCTAACAGACATGTTGCACACTGCTGCCTGTATTATTTTTTTCTCACCATCCTGATAAAATGCCTGATAGAAATTGAGGGAGAAATGGTTTACGTCGGCTCACAGTATCAGGGAAACAGTCCATCATGGCAGGGAAGGCATGGTGAGTGGTGGCGTGTTCGCGGGGTGATGGATAGAACACAGAGAGTTCGGGCTGGAACTGGGTAGGGGGACATTGTAATCCTCCAAGGCCTGTATCCCCAATCCCATGACCTACTTCTACCAACCAGGCCCTTCCTAACAAAAGGCCCTTTATACACACGTCCCACATTTTGCTCCTCACCGGGGAATAAGCATTCAAAACACAGGCTTGTGAAGCACATTTCGCTGGTGCCCTCTACATCCCATGGAAAGTCAAAGGGATTGCGTGCCTGGGGAAAAGATGCCCACCTAAGGGATGTGTGTGGAGCTGGTTTTCTCCTGCTCTGTCTTAACTCTGTATTGCACCCTCACTTCAGAAGACAAGTGGTGGGGGCAGGCCATGGAAGTGGATGGGGTTATCATGGAGCCTAGAGCTCCCAAACTAGCAGGCGGAGAGCGGAGCCGTTCAAATTACTTCCAAGGAAAGGTGCTGCTGTGCAATTACGACATGAGGTCATCTTCATTAGCAAGACGTGAGCACGTCTAATTAGACACCGTCCCCTCTTTTAGAGACTTGTCATAGTTCAAACAGAAAACCTTTCAGCTTCTCAGTAGTGCACTCTCCAATTTCTTTCTCCGTTGGTCCCTCCCCTCTCCTCCCCCTTCCTTCCCTTGTTCCTGTCCCTGCTGCTTAGCCCTGGAGTCCTTTATTGAGCAGAGGAGTCAGAAGTGGAGGTGAGGTGACCTCCTGGAAGAGATAGGAGGAATTTGGAGGGTAGCCAGGCTATTCCTTCCAGAAAAAAAGTGACCCTTCTTTTTCTGACAGTGCCATAGAGGAGGGAAAACCCGCTCCGGGAGCCGGTGTGCCTGTATTAAAACCCGGCGCAGCCTCCCAGTGATGGACACAGGTCGGAGAAAGAGAGATCCATCTTTCCAGCCTGTACGACTTGGAGTGGGTCATGCTGGTCTGTGAGAAGGAGGCTGGGCTGGAGCAAAGGTTCTCAGAGGAAGTTTCCAGAAAGCTTTATTATTCCTCCTCCCCTTGCACAGAGCGGCTTTCTCCCCAAATCTAGAAATGGTCTTTTCTCCTGGCTTGTGGGTGCCACTATGTCAAAACTGTCAACAATTAGGGTTTTTTCTTCACTGTCCCAGGGCACCTGCGGACACTGTGGCCCTCCCGGGCTTCTCTGAGGACACCTCCCAGCAGCATCCTGTTTCCTTTGTTCTTTCTGGCTAGCTTTCTCCAAGTAGGACAGAATCCCTCCCTGCATCTCAAGTTGCTGTGTTCCATGGCTTTATTGAGGAATGAGAGGAAGCTAGCCTGCCTCTTCTTGATGCTTCTGGATCGCCTGATGCTCCCTGCAGAGAGTCCGGGGCTGGGGGTGGGAATGTATCTCCTGCTGCACCGTCAGAGGCCTGCTTTCTCCCCTGTCGTGCTCCCCCCCCCCCCCCCCCCGCCCCATGGACTTGAATTAGAGACTCAACACATTGTGGCTGAATCTGCATTTGGGGCATTTCACCTTTCAGGCTGCCCCGTACAATGGGGGGAAACCCTTACACTGCCCCGCAGTCGTCCCTGAGGACTTTGCTGCTTCAGAATGTAACAAGTGGGGTGTTGACCACAACCCTCTAATTATGGCAGAAACAGCCAGCTTTATGTTGGGGCCATATCCAGAACAGAATGTTCTCAGTTTGATGTCTCCATTTCACTCTCTCCAGGATCTCACTATGTAGACCCTGCATGACCTGGACCTCACTATGTAGACCCTGCATGACCTGGACCTCACTATGTAGACCCTGCATGCCCTGGACCTTACTATATAGACCCTGCATGACCTGGACCTCACTATGTAGACCCTGCATGACCTGGACCTCACTATGTAGACCCTGCATGCCCTGGACCTCACTATATAGACCCTGCATGCCCTGGACCTCACTATGTAGACCCTGCATGCCCTGGACCTCACTATATAGACCCTGCATGCCCTGGACCTTACTATATAGACCCTGCATGACCTGGACCTTACTATATAGACCCTGCATGGCCTGGACCTCACTATGTAGACCCTGCATGACCTGGACCTTACTATATAGACCCTGCATGACCTGGACCTCACTATGTAGACCTATCTGCTTACTGCTCATCCCCAGCCTCTCTCTTCTGTGCGTTTTTTTTTTAATTAAAAGAATTAAAATAGCGATAAAACACACATAACAAAGTGTACCATTGTAACCATTTATGAGTGCGTGGTCTGTGCCTTTGTGCTCCTTTCCCATAGTTTTTAAGGCTTCGTCTCCCCCCAGGGTGAGTCCTTGTGCCGGCTTCACATCAAATACATCTGTGCTTTTGGGTGTCCCACCGAGAACACCACTGCTCCTGCGCGTCCCCTCAGGGACGCTGCTTCAGAACTCCCAGCAACTGAAGCTCTGGGTTGCACCTCCCTCCAGCTTTCTTCACTTACTCATGTTTCTGTGATTTTGGGATGAGTGTCCTCAGTCTCGGTCTACAACATGCAAATCTCTCCCCTCGGGGGACAGGAGACTCAGACCGTCATGCCCGGAGAGTGGCTGGCTCTTATCCCCCGGAAATGGGCCTCTGACTGCCACAGCCCCGGGGCTGGCAGAACAGCTGCCTTGGCCAAGCAGGAAGTGGTGAACAGGCTGGACCCTGTTCCAGCACGTTGGGGGGGGGGGTGGAGGGGAGGAGAGAAAGAAAGTCCTGCCAGAGAAGCGGCCACACTAGCTGATCACTGACTGTGTGGCACCATCGATCTGGGCCAGCCACTTCCCCCTTGTTCCTTCCCCGTATGGGAAAGTCGCTCGCTGCAGGTGTGCCGAGCCACACAAAGCAGCAGCTTGGAAGATAGCAGCCGGGGAAAAATAATTCCACCTGTAAACACCTGTGTTAACAAGCGCCGTATTTGTACAGCTATTTTCTTTTTCAAACACTGTTTACACACACCTATTCTCTTACCGCGTTCAGGTGTGTCTCGCATGGCATCTGGGGACCCGCTGGCAGGAGGCCAAGCTGCCTCGGGAGGAAATGCCTTGTGTCCTCTGCCCAGCAATGTCGTGCTGGGACTGCCAGGCCCTCAGCTGGAGCTCTGGGGCTGCTGGGTCAGCCTCTTGGAATGCGTTCAGCTTGAGGTTTGCAGGCCTCCTGTGACCAGAAGGGCCTGCCTGGGGCCTCTTAGGGGACAGTGACCCCAGCTGGATGAAAGAGGACACCTCCGGGCCCAGGTCATTTTGCATTTTCACACCCTGAGGACATTTGAACCCCTGGTCCACCTGATTACGCCAGTGGCTAGATGGAGCTGCCCGGGATCTAACAATGAAGGTTTCTTAGGAGGAGAGTGATCAGGGAATCAGTGGCTGTCCAGGCTCTCTGGCTTCCCACTGAAACTTCTAGAGTTCTTCCGGATTCCCTTTCACTCCACAGATATCCTTACTCAGGCTCCTGGCCTCGACTCTAGGTGCACACAGACTCATTCAGGATCCTTGCAGCATTCTGTACTCAGCCCCTGGCCCATGGCATCTCATAGCCTGGGCCTCCGGTCCAAGGAATTAGATAGCCGCTCCCCTGGTGAGAGTGAGACATTGTTGTTCTGAATGTTTATTTACTGCAGACCCCTTTCTCAAAATAGCTACATACACTCAACAGAACGAGTGTGTACAGAGTGCCCTCTCCACTCCAGTGCCGTTACTGAAGAGCATTAGACAGCTGGGAACACACCCACAGCTACGTTTGACTGTTGATTTCAACTTCCCTAATTTCCCCCAAGGGTTTCTTCTGTCCCAGAATCCCCTTTGAGGGCTGGGTCATCATCACCTGTCCTCTGGCCTGGGGATGATCGCGACAGTTGGGGAGAGCACTGGTCGGGCATTTTTCTTACAGTCTGAGTGGGAGGAGTGAACCGTCACCTTCTGTGTCCTGACGAGAGTACACATTGTCACTGTGACCTATCGCTGTTGATGCTGACCTCCATCTCCTCACGGAGGGTGGTGTTCGTCAGTTCCTTCACAGCCAAGAGCTCCCTTCTAGCCCAATTCTCCCTCCTCCTGTTCCACAGAGGCCAAGAAATGCCAAACCTGGGGGAAGGGCGGCCAGTCTCTACCCCTCGGAGGGACTGTCTCCTCTGGACGTCAGATGGCCTCTGCTCCCCATTATGTACTTACTCAACGGTTCACACCCGTGGGCATGGATTTATTTTACACCCAGGGCCAGCGTCCCCTCATTACCCTATGGCTTCATGGCTCTAATTGTCCCAGCTTTGGGTCCTGCGGGTGACTCAGTCCTTTCTCTTTCTGAGCACTTCCTCACTCAGGGGAAAGGAGCCTTTGCTGAACACCTGCTGGGGCCTTTGAATTTGCATTTTCAGTATTACCCATCCCTCCGCCAAACACCTCTCTCTTCCTCTGAGACCCACAGTTTTCACTCTGGTCCTAACAGTAGCGTCAGGGGGTACCTGAGTTGGCGGGGGCAAGTAGCCAAGTTTGTCCTCTGCTCTGTCCCTTTGTGCCTTTAGGGAACAGGTTCCTTAGACTATGATGTGTGTGTGTGTGTGTGTGTGTGTGTGTGTGTGTGTGTGTGTGTGTGTGTGTGGAGGTCAGAGGTCAGCCTTCAGTGTCATTTCTCAGGAGCAGTTCTACCTTGTTTTTAAAAATAGGTTCGCTTAACATCGTCTGGAACTCATCCAGTGGGCTAGGCTAGCTGTCCAGAGAGGCCCAGGGATCCACCTGTCTGCGGTCCTGAGATTAAGTGACTCGGTGGTAACTTGTTGACCTTTCATGACCTAGATCGGACCAGAGGGGCTTTGAAGCCCCTCTTCCCTGATGTTCCATGCGGGCCCAGGTAGGGTCACCTGGAGGGGTGGAGGGGTGGGTTGAAGAACAGAGACAGCTGGGGAGGGGCCGCAGGCTAGAATCAGCTTTGTAATTCTGCAAGTAGGAAAGCCGTCTGTTTTCCCTAGGAGAGAGGACTCTACCCTGAAACCTGTGGAGACAAAGCCCTTTGCTGGGTGCTTGGGTTCTTTGCATAACCAAGCTGACTGAGCACAGGCCAGCCGCGGTGGTGGTGGTGGTGGTGGTGAGAAGCCAGGCTGATCTCATCGGACGCTAATCCCCTTGCCTTTGTGGGTAGGCAAATCCACATGCTTGTCCCATGGCTGTTAGACATGTGTCTCTCATGAGCTCCTAAAGTTCTGTCACCAAGTGGGATTTTGGTTAGGGTGTGAGGTTGGTTTTCTATTGTGCATTTTACAGCTTGGTTGCAGGTACTGAAACCAGAGGCCAGAGCCCGACTGACGGTGGGGTGTGGCGGTGCGTACTGTGTCCTGTGGGAGTTGTCCTAGTCCGGATCTCCCTCCACCTGGTGTGAGCCAGTTCTGCCAGAGCAGGAAGGGGCAGGCTCTGGAAATGGAGTGCTGGGGCATGGCAGGGGGGCATACCTGGGTCCTGAGATGGGGTGGCCTAATGGAGGCCAGGGTAGAGCGAGCATGGGTTTCTGTCCTAGAGAAAGAAGCTAAGAGCCACTCAGGCTAGCTGGGATCCGGGTAGGGCAATCCCACGGCTCTAGCAGAAGCAGAGGTGCTTGCTCTTGGGGCTCAGGCAGGCAGCCAAGGGAGTAGAGGAAAAGGGGACTCAGATCATGAGCCCTTAGGCACGTTCTTCCCAGGACAAGCAGGGAGGAGTCAGCATCTCCAGTATCAGTAAGTCAGGGGTATGGACAGACAGAAGGATGAGGTCCTGGCCTCTGTCTGTTCACAATGTGCACAAGCAAGAAGAGACAGGCATCGAGAAGTCTGTTGCCCTTTGGTGGGACACTACTGTAAGCAACCAGTGAATGCCTGCCCCTTGGCCTCAGGCTGGATGTCTGCATAGCGGGGTACTCCGAGGATGTAAAGAGACTGAGTTGGGTAGGTTTATGTAGAAATCATTGCAAGGTCACACCAATGACCGTAAAGAAAAGGGAATCCACACAGGTACATTGTATGGTATACTGTCGCACTTAGGGTGGGTCACAGTCTTACTGCTGTGACAAAACACCACGACCAAGGTAACTTATAGAAGAGTTTATTTGGGTTTAAGTTTCCAGTGGGATAATTGTCCATCATGACAGGTGAATGGCAGGCATGGTGGCCGAGGCAGGGAGCCGAAAGCTCACATCTTGAGCCACCAACACCAGCAGAGGGAGTGACCTAGACATGGTCGCACGTCTTAAAGGCAGTCTCTGGTGATGTACTTCCTCCAGTGGTGCCACACTTCCTAAGCCTTCCCAAACACTACTACCCACTGCGGATCAAGTGTTCAAATACTCGAGAGCCTACGGGAGACAGCCTCACTCAGGCCACTGACGTCATCCTATAGGCTAACAGAGAACCCAGTGAGCATTGGTTAACAAGAACCACGAAGATTGGTTTTTCCTCGTGCAATACCGTCTGGAGGTGGGCGGTCAGGGCAGTCGGTTTTGCTGACTAACAAGGTCTTCAACGATTCCGGCTCTTCTTCTGCCCTACCGCCACGAAACACACTCTCCCCTCAATTTTATTTTCCTCTCAATTGTGCTAAAATGGCTGCTGTAACCACAAGATCACACCCAAGTATAAGGAAAGAGGCAGGCCTAGCCAGTCTCCCCCCCACTGCCTCCAGAGAGAGAGAGAGAAAGAGAGAGAGACAGACAGAGAGAGAGAGAGTGAGTTTCTGTGCTTGTAAAGTGTGTGGTTGTGCGTGCAGAGGATTTACTGGGAAGGGGACCCGGGGACGCTGGGTAACATTTGCATAGGATGTGGGTCTCTGAGAAGAAACAGTGACTCGTGTTTTTATTATATAACCTTTGTGTGCTGGTGGTTTTGTGACTGTGTAGCTATCTGGTTCTTCCAATGGAAAAGAAAAGTTAGCTAAAGAAAGACGACAGACAGCCGGACGTCAGCTACGGCAGAAGGAAGGACGCGTGGCATACTGAGTAGGCTCAGAGGTGGGCTCTAGGGAAGTCCCAGCATCCCCTGCACAGGGAGCAGGGCCGTCGAGGAGGTCTTGTGGCCCAGCTTGTGGTGTGTGGGCGGCACACCAGGACAGTTCTGGGCTGGTCCTGGAGTCGAGGAGGGCACCTCTTCCTTGCTTTCTAGGCACGTCCTGGAGCCTGTGGCGTCGTGTGAGCGTGAGCGTGTGAGCTGGGCTTGTGGAGGCCATCCTGGGGAGAGGAGCGGGGTGGTGTGGGGAGGGAGGCAGCTCTCTAGCATCTGCTGCCTCATCTAGAAAGTGGTGTTGAAATGAAGTCTTCAGGAAAACCCCATGTGTTCCGCGACTGTGACTGACATACCGACTTACGCTTCTGATTCTGCCAGCTGACCAGACATGTGTCTCTGACGACACAGCGTGAGGCAGAAATGGGAAGATGATCTGAAATTAGCCCCTGAGTCAGATGACAGGATGAAATCAGAAGAGTGGAGAGACGTGTAATTGTGTTTTGCTTTTTTTTTTTCTTCCCTGAGGGTGATCTCACTGTGTGTGGTAGGCCAGGGTGGGTAGGCGTCTGTACCCCTGCACACATGGATAGCGTCGGTCAAAGAGGTCCTGGGTCTTTACTTGCCCTGGTCAGCACTGTTTCCACATCTTTCCTGACTCAAGTGACCTGTAATGACCTTGTAGGAGGGAAATGTCCTGGCTAGACTCAGGGACTTGTTCTATGGATTAGGGTCAGAAGCCTTGTTCCCGCTTTGAGGTTACATCACGTGATTTCATAGAGGGAGAATGGCACTGGGTTATTTGCTAGTTGGTAGGCCCTAAGATGGCCCTTACTGGAGCATCACACTGTAGCAGTGTGGATTTGGTGAATCTACGCTGTGTAAGAGGCGGTCTAGCATAGCCTGGCTCCTGGTGCTTGCTGACAAGAAGCCAGCGTGGCGGAGAGCACCAGAACCCCCTGTCATGAATGAGAACTGACAGTGGAGTCTCATGTAGTGAACTGTCTGGATCTGATGACCTCAGAGTAGACCTAGCAGTCAGAGTTCATTGTGGAAGAAGAATGAAGTGCCTCAGGCCTTACTCAGGAAGTCTTCACTGCAGGGAATTGATTACCAAAATCCACAGA